CTCCTCCTCTCCTTCCTCCTCCACCACTTCTCCCCTTTGCTTCACCAACCTGGCCCTCTCCGCTACCTTCTCCCCCTCCTCCTCCTCCACCTTCTCCCCCCTCCTCCTCCGCCACCTTCTCCCCAGGTTCTCCCCCTCCTCCTCCTCCACCTCCTCTCCTCCACCTCCTCCTCCTCTCCCTTCCTCCTCTCCTCCTCCACCTTCTCCCCCTCGTCCTCCTTCTCCACCTTCTCTCCGCCTCCTCCTCCTCCACCACGTTCTCCACACATTCTCCTCTCCTTCCTACTCTCCACTCCTTTCCTCCTCCTCCTCCACCTTCTCTCCTCCTCTCCTCCTCCTCCACCACCTTCTCTTCACCTTCTCCCCCTCCTCCTCCACACCTTCTTCCCTCCTCCTCGACCTCCTGCCTGTATCACTGGTTCAACAATGAATAATAAACACCAAGTGAGTAAATGTCCGGGCGGGTAATTGTTCGGGGTAAATGCCGGGGGGTAATTGTCCGGGCGGGTAAATGTCCAGGGGTAAATGTCCGGGGGTAAATGTCCGGGAGGTAAATGTCCGGGGTAATTGTCGGGGTAATTGTGCGAGGGTAATTGTTCGGGGGGTAAATGTCCCGGGGGGTAATTGTCCGTGGGGTAATGTGCCCGGGGTAATGTCCGGGGTAATTGTCGGGGGTAATTGTGCGGGGGGTAATATGAGACGGGGGAAAATGTCGGCGGGGTAATTGTCCGGGGGTAAATGTCCGGGGGGTAATTGGTCCGGGGGGTAATTGTCCGGGGGGTAAATGTCGGGGGGGTGATTGTCGGGGGGTAAATGTCCGCGGGGGTAATGTCCGGGGGTAATTGTCCGGGGGTGATTGTCCGGGGTTGAATGGCATGGGGCGGGTGAATGCCATGTGGGGGGTAATTGTCCGGGGGTAATTGTCGGCGGTAATTGGTCTGGGGGGTGATTTCCGGGGGGTATTCTGTCCTGACCACCTAATAATCAGTGCCTGATAGTGGTAATCAACATGCCATAGCCGGCATATATGCTAGTAGCTAGTACAAGCTGTCCCAGATAAATTTTACAACACCACTAAATATTGTGCTACATTCACTTGTCTGGTGAAAAAGAAATATAAGAAATTTGAATATAAATATTTTTTTAAATAATGACAGTACTCAATATAGTACTACTGGGGAACCCGGAACCCTACTAACAGACTAAGCTCCAAACAGTCATATTAGGCCATTGCCATTGATAGCCAAGGGGTCTGTCTGTGCTGGATGGTGTGTTTTCATGAATGAAAAGTGAGTCATTTTGCCATCCTATAATATTATATGTTAGTTAGATTTCGATGCATTTTACACTCATTATAGCCTACCGTTAACTGATTATTGGTCCTGATTAACCTTAGACATGTACAACATATTAACATCACGATAGGGTAAGTCGAATTCCGATGGGAATTGGCAATTGAACTTGTGTCCGCTGTTGTATCGGCATGTGTTTACATGGGTGAATACAGTCATTTTTATATTAATAATAATAGCACATTTGCACAGCGTATACGTACTTATGGAACGAGATTCCTTTTTCCTTTGATTCTCTGTTTTGTTGATTTCCACAGTGGATAGCAAAACATTGCGTACCAACTGTTCGTCGCGAACTTTGTACCGATTTTTGATCGCTGTTGAAATAGCTATGATCAGCCATATTTCCACACTGTTCTGCCCAGCATGTAATGTTCCAATATGGCGGCGCGGAATCTCGTTTGAGCTACTGTTAATTCATTGGTCGCGGCCTGTCTAGTATTATAGGATAGGATGTCTATGCCTACAGCCGATGTAAAACAATAGCCAGCTTGCTCTCGTTGGCGGGGTTCGGCGTAACCTGTATAATACCAGTCGTCATGTTACGCTTGACTGCGTTCGCTACACTAACGCGGCTGGTGAGTAGGCCCTAGCGGCCGTTACGAGCAGGAGCGGTAATCATTAACGTTAGGTTCGGCGGGGATTTGCAACTCTCACATTCTCGCGAGATCACACTTTCCAAAATGCCATCAAAGCGAAATCTAAACTAATAAGGTTTGGCTCCAGATAAACGACGAAAAAGACCTTCTATAGTGCGGCCTATGACCAATAAACACGTAAAGGAGATTTGCGAGAAATTAGAAGCAACGGAGATCGCTGTGCTTGCTTCGGTAGTGGACAATGTTGTGAGTGAAGAACTTCACATGGAGGCGGACAACAGAATGGCGCTGCTACAGTGATTGCATGTTAACGGCGTGTTTGTCATACTCGTGCGCCATTTACTATCTTTATTCACCGAACTGTATGGAAGCTGCTATGCAAAGCGGTCATCGGAACGCTACGTCGCGTTTCAATTGGATTGGTTAAGCATTGCAACGTATGCATTCTATGGTTAATGGTAGTGAGTAGTGACGTCGATCGATAAACCGGTATAATATCGGTACACCAGTGTTAAATAAAACGGCTTTAAATTCAACTTTATCGTGTTTTCATCGTTGAAAAAGTGCGCCTATATTACTCTACGAGTAGTAATGCATCGTTTATAGTCAAGCAATTTGAAATCATGCGAGCAGATTAAGAGAACATAGCTAACAAAAAATGGGCTGTTTCCTTTTATAGTATAGATCATTGCTGTTTGTGTGTAACTCTCTCATTGTATTCATCCGTCCGTCTGTCTGTCTGTCCCATAGAAATGGATGGCAGATTATTATTATTATTGGTCCAAGAGATCCGGTATTTCTCAAGCACGGCAAATTATTCGGGGTCTGAGAAGCCGCGTATTTACATCAAATACCGGATCTGTTTAGATACCGTATATCTTGGACCGCGCATTTTGCCTCGTGTGAACGCTAAATACCGGATCTCTTGCTACGTGTGAACGCGGGTTGTGTTAGTATACAAGGTCATGTCCAATGAATAAACAACTGTCAACAAAACGGTTAAACCTAAAATAAAAGAAGAGGACCATGGGACATTAAAATTGGAACAAGGAAAAATTTATCTAGAGGATAACCTTTGGGAACTGGTCAGAAGTGAATGTTGTGAAGTTCTCAAGGATCTAAAGTATGCTTCAGCCATTCTAAGAAAACTGAAGGTGTACTCCAAGTTTCCAAGATGAATGCGTTGTTTGTATCCTTTGCCATAAGGAGATCTACTATTTAGTATGTCAAATAGTTGATCAACTATCTACAATAACAGATTTATATACAAGAAACATAATCATAAAACAGATTTCAAATGCTGTGGAGTTGAATATACATAACTATTTTTTCGATTCAACATTATATTCAAGGTTTTTTGTTTCCAACAAACAATACTTTTAAATAACTTTCTAATAGGCTGGCGGGTTGCATGCAACCTGCACCTAAGCGCAAAAATTGCAAAAAGCCACCCAATCATGTAGCAAAAATTAGCGGCAAATAGTTCTATTATTAAAACATACTATAGGATTACTGATTTGGAGGGAAATATAGTACTAGATGTAGTTACAGTAATAATTAAGTACAAACCTTGATGAACTTGCAAGTTGCTTCAGAGCCATCACACTGTGGGAATCCCAAGATCCGGCCAATTTCCAAAGCCTTGGCAACCGACGATGAAAAGGTTTGCACAGCTAACGACACCTTGTTAAAAAAATGACACATTCATTCAATGACAAAAGTATGAATCCTATGCATGCATATTAACAAATCATATCAGGTTATTAAAATAAACTCTTTTTATCATGATTTAATGAAGAAGGTGCTCTCCAAATTTCCATTGAATTTTCAGTGCTAAAGGATTTGTCATTTTATTCGACAAATCCCATTAATAAGCATTACTTTCATCTTCTGCTGGTGAAAGTCCAAGTGGGTCTTTGACAGCTTGTTGGCAAACCTCAGACCCATACTTTGTTGAAGGTCGTGCAGATCTGCAAAGTATTTCCAGTCAACAGTGCCATCCTCAGCCTCAATGGTCCTGTATGCCGCCAAACAGTTGCGGAGCAGTTTGATCATATGACATGCGTCATAAATGATCCAGATCCGTGAAGAACTGGATGAAATCTACAAAGATAAGATCAAAAAATTTATTTGCAATATTACAACAAATGTGCATTAACAATACTTTGGAGAATATAAATGTCTGTGCTAAGATACCTCAGATAGTTTAAAACAAATGCTGGGTTATCGAGATCTTTAATATAAAATTTGAATCTTACCTGGAAATATGGTTGTAGGTTCCGTAGATCCATAGTTGCCCCAAGTAACGTGCAAATCGCCTGATTGAAAGCATGACCATCCATAGTCAGGGAGTGGATAACGAAGCCACACTCGCTCAATTTCTGCAAACACCCCATCATCAAAGAAGTTTGTGTTTCCGCTGAAAGGGTCGGTGTGAAGAAGAAGGCAACCGGGGCTTTCCAGCCACCCTTCAAGCCAACAACCATGAAAACAAGGACTTCTTTTGCGTTTTTTTCTTCTTCCTCTCCTGTCCCAAGGTCGACAAACCCTAGCATCTTTTGCGAATGTTGATCGTATATCACTTGCTGACGAATAGCCATTGCATCAAGCATGAAAGAGCAGCTGTAAAAAAACCAGTAGAACATGCAGTCATATAGAGCCATCTAAAATTGTACAAGAATATTTAGTAATAATAATAACCAAATTCTATGGAAAGTCACTTATTACCAATATGTATACACAGTCACAGGTAACACATGATGCAGTTTATCTAAGGTGTATCCCAAGAAAACCTGTACAAAACTCACTGAGTGTATTTTTCAGGGTCGCTCTTTTTCTTTTCAACAAGTGTGTTGATCATAGCTGTGTTGATCCCTGGATTTGAGTCCACTCTTTCTAGCCATCTACAAACAATTATTGGACAATTATTGCAATGCTTATTGACATTGTAATCACATCTTGCTGCTATTTAATTGTGAAAAGGTCCAACAAATTATGATTACGACCCACCCAGAAAAAATCCTGGATACACCCCTGAGGTGACAGTGTACATTGGTCTGTACTTAAAAGTAAAGTATACATTAACTTACCACATCTGCGAATTGAGTTGAAAAACAACTCGAGGTGGTCTTGGCTCAACTTGTAGGTCAGGATGTATTTCTGGATGGGGGTGTCACCTTCTAACAAGTCATGCACCAAGCCCATGAGACTGTGGATGTTGACAATCATACCTAAGAAGCCCGTCTTCCTGCAAATTTGTTCGAAATAAATGTCAGATTTTACTGATTATGCATCAACATGCTTTATTTATACATGTACACCATAATAAGGCAAAGTCACATTGCTCTGTTCAAAATAATTAGGATCATACATGATATCAAATTATCAATGAATTACGTTTGTCTAAACTTAAAAATAAAACTTTGTGCCAATTTGATTTTAATGTCCACCTAAATAAAATAAAAGATTAATAAAATCTGCCAATTTATAAACTTGATTTTCTTCTCGCTAACATTAACTGTGTTAGTATACAAGGTCATGTACAATGAATAAACAACTGTCAACAAAACGGTTAAACCTTAAATAAAAGAAGAGGACCATGGGACATTAAAATTGGAACAAGGAAAAATTAATCTAGAGGATAACCTTCGGGAACTGGTCAGAAGTGAATGTTGTGAAGTTCTCAAGGATCTAAAGTATGCTTCAGCCATTCTAAGAAAACTGAAGGTGTACTCCAAGTTTCCAAGATGAATGCGTTGTTTGTATCCTTTGCCATAAGGAGATCTACTATTTACTATGTCAAATAGTTGATCAACTATCTACAATAACAGATTTATATACAAGAAACATAATCATACAACAGATTTCGAATGCTGTGGAGTTGAATACACAACTATTTTTTCGATTCAACATATTCAAGGTTTTTTGTTTCCAACAAACAATACTTTTAAATAACTTTCTAATAGGCAAAACATGCAACCTGCACCAAAACGCAAAAATTACAAAAAGCCACCCAAGCATGTAGCAAAAATTAGCGGCAAATAGTTCTATTATTAAAACATACTATAGGATTAATGATTTGGAAGGAAATATAGTACTACATTTAGTTACAGTAATAATTAAGTACAAACCTTGATGAACTTGCAAGTTGCTTCAGAGCCATCACACTGTGGGAATCCCAAGATCCGGCCAATTTCCAAAGCCTTGGCAACCGACGATGAAAAGGTTTGCACAGCTAACGACACCTTGTTAAAAAAATGACACATTCATTCAATGACAAAAGTATGAATCCTATGCATGCATATCAACAAATCATATCAGGTTATTAAAATAAACTATTTTTATCATGATTTAATGAAGGTGTTCTCAAAATTTCCAGTGAATTTTCATTCATTGTCATTTTATTCGACAAATCCCATTAATAAGCATTACCTTCATCTTCTGCTGGTGAAAGTTCAAGTGGGTCTTTGACAGCTTGTTGGCAAACCTCAGACCCATACTTTGTTGAAGGTCGTGCAGATCTGCAAAGTATTTCGAGTCAACAGTGCTATCCTCAGCCTCAATGGTCCTGTATGCCGCCAAACAGTTGCGGAGCAGTTTGATCATATGACATGCGTCATAAATGATCCAGATCCGTGAATAACTGGACGATCTGCAGCCCGGATATCCGCGCGAAGCGCGCAAACGCTGCGCAGCGGTGACAATAAATGTTATTCGCTGCCCTATATAGAAAAATTTCCCCAGTGCCCTTTGGGTACAGGAAAAAGCCGTATAATCGGTCAATTGAGGAGTTGTGGCGATTCCACAAGCCTTTCGACTATGCACGTAGGTCAAGAATAAATACAAATGCTGGTAATTGCTTGTTTGCTGGTCGGCGCGTTTCCTTTTCGTCTAGAAAAGCGAGTTTGCATTTCTACAATTTCACGCCCTGAATTTATTCTCGTACATATGGCGTCCCATAGATGGCGCGACGAGGCCCTCTTCGAGGGATTTTCAAGGGAATTTTCCACACAAGGATCGGCGATTCAGCTTAGACTGCTCCGCGGTGGTGAGTTCCACACGCTGCACTAACTATAACTTTAGTGTAGCGAAAGATACTTGGCTGAGTTAAGGTCCGTACCAGTCTAGCTCCAATCGTGACGTGCGATTCTAATTATCGTAGCCATCTTAGTACCCACGACGTTGATTGGCTAAGCCTGTTGATTGATGTTTGTTTACACTGAGAATTTCCACTAGATGTTATCTGGAAAAGCAGCAGCCGTATGTATCTTAGTACCCCCGATGGTCTGATGTTTGCGATGATGACGTAATACTTCAAGCATGTATATATAGCAGAGCAAAGGAACGTTTGTAAGCAGAAAGCGAGATTAAGATAGATAGCACGCTTCGCAATTCATTTTGTTGGCAAGGAAGCTTCAAGAGTTTTCAGAATTTTCGCCATGCGTTACAAACAAGGCAGTTTGAATACCTGTCCTTGGCATGAGATGTGTGATACTTCGGCTTTTGCTTGGAGTTATCGAGCCGTCTGTTCTGCGTAAACGTACTACTCACTCTGTGTTGGTAGGTTCGTCGATTCGGCGCGTATATCATACTTACGTAGGCGGCCTTTTAATCGACCCTAGCCGTGTTACTCATTCGCTGTAAGCCTCTGCGCGTATTCCCGTGAATTGCATTAAGTGTGCAAACCTACGTAGAAGTCTTAAGTGCAATTATGCTTTTTATTAATAGGGAAATAGTCCGCCTAGCCTTATTCATCGCATCGTACGACCAACATCAACACATGAGTATGACACTCACACCACCGATAGCATCCCACGTCACAATACATCGCACTAGGTATCGGGAATTTCGTGATTCTGCGAGCGGAGCAATAAGGCAACTCTCGGCATCTGACATATCCCGAAGAACTCTCGAATATGTCAATACTTAGCCCTTGGATGCTCTCTCTCCACACGCTCGCACGCTCTTCTCCTTAGCTGGCACCCTAAGCACCTCTGCCGCCCACTGACACACACGCCCTCGCCTCCGCCCACTACGCCCCCCCCGCGCTTTCATCGTCTATCAGTATATTGGATGACTTATGTAATAATTTCACTACGATATTAAAGATAACTCAAAGTAGCAAGACTTACACGAGATGATGCTGTTCGCTACGTATCATGAACGCTTGTTTTTGGTTGTGGTCACGATGGCATTAAAGACCTTGAACAACTTTTTATGTAGTCTAGACAGTGACGCTCTCAAACGACACAGCATGGAAGATTGAGAGGGAAGACGATACACCCAGTTCTTACTATCAGCAATCCATATGTGTATCGGCCGTCAGCCGCCTTCCTGGACATTACACGTTCTTATCGTCCAACGCAATTTGGCAACGTTCAACAACAACAGTATATTTGTTACAAACACTAACCCGATGACCTATCGAAGTCTCGCTCCCTAATCGTAGCAGTATTATCCGAGCTCAGTGCCGAGAGAAAATTTCCGCAAGCGCCATGCATTCTGTGATGTTCTACTCTCCGGATTCGCGTCGTGGTCACTGCCGTGAGCTAAGGCGTGTAACGACTATCATGTCGACGACAGGCCACAGTTCGGACTTGCGTAAGGCTCGCCGTAAGACGTAGGAGTACCTACGCGGCATCCAATTAGCAACCAAATACGAGCTCGCAATGTACGTCGATCTCGCTTGGGCGAAAGAGACCAAGATGGCGGCGGGGTATAAGCTACTGGTTAGCGAGAGACGAGTCGGGGGTGTGTAAAAAACACCCCAGATTGTCGACTGACCTGATCGGGCCAATTCGGCGGCCCTGCCCCTCGCTCTCAATGCACCAATGGTTGCATCGGCTAAGGACACTCTTAGCCTCACGATGTCGATAGATGTTTGAAATGGCACCTGCACTCCGGTGCTCCTGCAAATCGCGGAAAAGAAATGTTTTTCCTGCTTTTGGACCTCCTCACATGGGAGAGAAGTTACACTTCTGCAAACTTACACAGCGCTTTG